TAATATTTCATTTATTATTTTTATTTTATGTATATGAGTGCATTGCCTGCATGTATGTAAGTGCACCCCTGTTGTGCAATGCCTTGGAAGGTCAGAAGAAGGCATTGGCTATCCCTGGAACTGGAGTTAGGAACAGTTGTTAGCTGCCATGTGGGTGCTGGGATTCAAACCCAGGTCTTCTGCAAGAACAATCAGTGTTCTTAACAGCTGAGCCATCTCTCCAGCCCAAGCTTTGAATTTTTTTAAAGTGCCAGAGTGATGTGGTAATGATATCTGTGTATATGTGTGTTTATGTGTGTGAACAGGCTGTAGCTAATTGCTGGTAACAGTTATTAATCAACATTACCCATTGACAAATTTTGTCTTGGGATTTATAGCCCAAAGAATTGGATATACCACATTGTAAACAAATGAGCCTACAAAACATTGGCATTCAGAAAAGATCAGTGCAAGGGAAAGGGAAGAGAAAATTTCCTTAATTATTACCCGATCCCAGCAAAGTTTCTTCAAATAAGTGAGCATGAATATTTCCCTGTCTGAGACGTGAAGCTTAAGAGGGCTGCAGAAAGAACGTGAATAAGCTCTACTCTAGAGCTTGTTTAGTTTGTGGTGGTTTAACCTGGTCCACAAAGTCACTCAGGGAATACAAACTGAGCGTTACTAATTTTTTATTCATGTGCATTCTTGTTGCAGTCCTAAGAATAACCTATGCTCTCTAAATCAATCTGCTTGTTCTTGCTTTTAATTTAATTAATATTAGGGTTTCACTCCAAATATGAAAGGGTAGAAAAGAAAAATAACTTCTAGCAGTATTGGTCTATTTTTTAGCATTTGGGGGACATATTTCTCTTCTGTTTTGATTCTCTCTACGTATTTGTTACATACCATTTTAGATTTGACATTTTTTCATTTAACCATAGCAAGAATTCCTCTTTCTGACATAATCTTTGTACCACTACTTTTGACTATATAGTACTCTATTTTGTATATATATTTATTCATTTCCATATTGATGTATACTTAGATTGTTATAGAAATATTGACGGGGTATGGTAGCGCATGCCTTTAGACCTAGCTCTTGGGAAAATGAGGCAGGCAGATCTCTGTGAGATCGCAGCCAGCTTGGTCTACATAGCAAGTTCCAGGCCAGCTGGGGCTACAGGGAGACCCTATCTCAAAGACAAGCAAGCAAACAAACACCTAGAATAGCTGGCTGTAAATAATGTATGCTTGTCACATCATCATCCTTTTTGTCATAATGTGACTCCGTTTTTCCTGGGACTTGCTATATAACCAAGGCTGACCCCAAATTAATGATTTTTTTGCTGTAAGCTCAGAAATGATGGGATTATGTGTATGAACCACCATGCTCAAACAGTGAAGAATATTTTTGTGCACAGTTTATTCCTTATCTTTAGGGTAAATTCCAAGAAATGTAATCACTGGGATAATGGGCATGTAGATTCTTATATTTATAATACATATTAACAAATTTATTTATTAAAGACTGGTGCTGGTTTACCTTGTCACAAAAAAGCATGAAAATATTTATTTGCACATACTCTTACTTCATGATTTATCTGTATGAACCCAGAAATAAAAAAAAACTTGGGGAACACAATATGTTACCAGCTACATACTCTAATCAAAATTGCATTTGCAGCCTATAATCATAGCACTCAGGGAGGAAGAGTCAGGAGAATTGCCACCCATTCATGGTCAGCCTGGTATACATAGTGTTTCAGGCCAGCCAGGGCTACGTAGTTGGACCTTGTCTCAAAAATTTGAGTCTGCTTTACCATTGGAGACTAGTTCTGTGCCAAGCATTAATTGGAGAAGCTTCTTAGTGCAGTGGGTGGTGGTTAGTGCAGAAATCCATACCTGGTCAAAGTACCGAGAATAAGTGATGATGGAGTGCTCTGTCCTAAATGGGATAGCTAGATCACACCCTCCAAGGCTCAGGGAACATCATGGAAGAGGGGGTGGAAAGAATGTAAGAGTCAGAGGACAGGGAGATGTAAGCCAAAAAGATGTCTTCTGGACATGTCGTAGCCATTATATTCATGAACTTACTGTAGCGGTGGTTATATGTAAAATATTTGCATAAGATTGGGCCCATGAACACTCATCATGAGTCGGGGAGGAACTCATGAGGTTCTATTCCCTCCTGAAGGACAACTGATCATTAACATTTGTTGGGGCAGGGGGTATCATTTTCTTCAGTGTTGTAGCCACTGAAAAACTGCCCTTGCTTAAGTAAGTAACCTGCCACCCACACTCATGCAAACAATCCTAACTAAACTCAGTGGGAAACAAAAAGAAGACATGAAAGTAGGCAGGAACTCACTGAGAAGGGGTCTGGCAGGAGACAGAAGGGATGGGAAAGAAGAATGGAACATGAAAATGACTATAGTTAATTATATAAATGTACAAAACTGTCAAACAATAAAAAATTTAAAAATGAATTTTCTGCTTTATGGCAGCATGGGTCAGCATCAAATGTTTTCAGTGGTAATAATTACCTACCTGGACCCAACAGGTATTAACCAGAACTTCTTATTATCGCCAAACACCTGCTGGATATTCTTGATAAAGCCAAGATTGAACCCATTTTTCTCTGGTCCACTTGTAAACACTGGAGTGCAGAAGGCCTCTAAGACAGTATTGGAGAGTTGAAAAAGGGGAAAGTGAGAAATAAAAGAATACATTTTAAGCATAGACATGATTTTTTGCCCAAATGTGACCTGGATTTATGCTATCTCTTTGCTATGTTAGCATAGGCTTACAGTCTTAGTTATTGCTAATTATTTGTAAAACTCAGTTTAATCATTCAATAAAAGGCAAGTTTGTTATCAAAATCAGGAACTTGTATTCTTATTTTTTAAAGGCAAGAGAAATGCATAATGACAAAAATAATGAAGTAGCCAAGGGAGGGCATGTATTTGTACTGCTGGATTTAAGGAGTGAAGAAACAGAATAACAGCACTTAATTTGAATCTAAGTGGCAACAACAGCCAAATGGTCTCCATCTGTAGATCTGGGACCAAAGTAATGACACATGAAGAGATGGTAATGACAATGATTTGGTTTTGAAACATTTCAGAAATGAAGATGTTCACAATGAAGCCTGAATTGTAAGAAACCTAGTCTTACTCCAGATAAAATATCAACAGGTGAACTGTAATCACCTCAAACACTATGAGGAATTGGGGCACATTAGTGCACATTATTTTTAGACACACATTTATCCCATTAAGCAAACACTTTCACTGTTGGGCTCTGGCTGCATCTCACCATTTCCCATTTGTCCTTTGTTTTCAGACCCTGTTATCATGAAGCTTTTAGTACTGCTCTACTTTTGTAGCTAATCTCTCAACCAAATGTGCTAATTTACTGCCCTAACTACTAAGTGCTACACATATATTTGATTTGGAAAAGGGGCGCAAATACTTTCTTAGCAAATGAATTCCAAAGTGCAGCGGTTTTTACACTAAACTTCCCTCAAATCTAATCTGGTTAAACATTTAACGAATGACTTTAGTACATTTCCATATACTAATTTGTAGTCCATGTAAATATTCAACATAGATGAAATAATTATTGTACTGAAATCCTTTAGAAACATAGTTCCACATATAATAACAAGACTTGAGTGCTAATTAACAGCAAAGAATATTCATCGCAAGTACTGATTTTCTGTAGATTCAATATATGATCTTATTTGCATGGTCACTGTATACTCTTTGATGACTGTAAATATGAATTTGATTCCTTTTTAGAAAGATTTTTATATTCCTTCTTTTACATTTATTTGTATGTGTGTGGGTGTGTGTGCACGTGCGTGTGAGTACATGAATGTCATAGTATGCCTGTGGAGGCCAGAGGACAATTTGCAGGAGTCATTTCGTTCCTTCCACCATGTGAGTTCCCAAGACTGAATTTCTGTTGTCAGGCTTGTGGCAAGTGCCCTGACCACTGAGCCATCTCAAAGGCCTAGATGTTCACATTCATTCTTGTTGTTGGTTTGGATTTTTTCTAAGAACTATGTTTTGAGATGTGCATGAGAAATTAGATTCTTATGTGTTCTTTGAGCTTCACTTCTTCATTCTGTGATTCCCTTCTGTACTGAATCTTTCTTTCACTCCTTCATGTTAATACCTTTTAGAAATCTGACTTGTGAATCTGTGGATGTAGTGCCCAACATGTACTATAAAGAACTATGGCCATTTTTTGGTTTTGTGTGGGGTTTCATTCATGAATGCTGTGTTTAGTCTGTAAGCTTTGTTCACTATTGTTGTCCAGTTTGGCAAAATGTATTTCCATCTGTCTAGTTTTGGAGTTCAAGAGATGTCACTACATCTAAAATACTTTATTGGAAGCTCTTCTCTTTCCAGGGAACAATCCACAGGTTGTGGTGACACATTAATATGTATTTTCCTAATCTTAATATTCAATCTTACCTAAGGTAGTTTTGTTTCTGCTAACAAGCCAACAATGGTAACCAAAGAGAATCACAAGGCTGACAAAAAACATGCAGGCCACAAAGAGGAGAAAGAGGACATGGAACTTGGAGCGAACACTGGGCAATTCCCCCTAGAAAAGAAACAACAAGCAAACAAAACAAAAGATTAAAGTGGTAATGCTTGGCTAGTTTTTCTATATAGATCAATAGCTTTTCACATGTAAAAATCTAGCTACAACTAAAAATAGATTTTGTAAACTTTAAAAAAAATCATTACATTCATATATTTATTTTGTGTGATCTGTGTATGCGGAGGTCAGAAGACAACTTGAAGGAAGTGGTTCTCTCCATCCACCATGTGGGTTGCAGAGACTGAACTCAGATCATCAGGATTGGTGGCCCACTGAGTCATATGGCAGGCTCTATTTTTTTCTTTCTTACAAAATTCTTCCTCATTATAGCTATTATCTTACCCTACAAAGCTTAAAATTGTCTTTGCTTAAGTGTAATATATAATGTAACAATTAGGAAAGAAAATGTGAAAAGGGTATATTCAGATCATAATTGGTGTGAAACTCATATTCCATTTAGCTCAAGAATTATAAACCACTATCTAGGGGCGATCTTAAGGTCATTATGATTTTTCCTCTTGTCTGAAAGTAGGCTTTTCTAGAATTCTTTATGTTTCCTTTGCCGTGTGTGTTGAAATGTTAGAGTGATGAATATAAGAAGTTAAAACACAAAATTTTTAAATATTCTACCTGGAGTCTGATCTGATTTTAAAGGTGTTGAGAATTTTACATGTATTTTTTTTAATGGCTGAAGTAGAATATACTGGGATATTACATCCCATGGAACAGCTGTTTAGACAGTAAAAATCAAGCAGGATTTTACAGGCAATTTTAAAAGTAATGCAGGTATCTTAAGATTGTTATAGTTAACTGGGACATCTTACCTTCCACGTGGCATCAGTGTTTGTTTTACATACAGTTATAGAGCAAAATTAATGTCTAAAGTCCTATAACATGCACAGTATGTAACATTTTGTTTTCAAAAAACCCTAGCAAACATTTACGGTTTTTGAATAACCAACTGGAGGAATGACTGTCACTTATTTCTTCCTTTCCCTTAATGACCATTGTGTTGGCATGATGAATTGCCTTGAGATATTTGTAAATGCTCTCCAGTAATAAAGTTAAAAGTGATTCTTAAATGAAGTGGAACTTAACTTCCAAATAATCCTATTCTACTCCAGTTTTAGAGGAGAAAGTTAATGCTTGGCAAAAATTCCTAAGTTCAAACTGTAGATTTCTTTCTTCCTTGAGAGGATACTTTTATTCATTTTTACATAAGGAAATAGCAGGACTCTTCCAGGTTGTGGTTGTTTGCAGGAATGAAGAGGGGGAAATAAGCACACCAGATGCAGCTGAGAGGAGGTCTGGGAAATTAGCTCAGGAGCAGAGCAGCCAAGGAAATAGCTGCTTCAAGGACTTCAAGTTTTCAGGAAACTTTATCAGAAACTCTCCTTTTTGAAATGCTCTCTCCACAAAATCTTTGCTTAAGTACCTAAATTGGATTGGTTTGGCTTGTGCGTTGTTTTTTTTTTTTTTTTTTTTCAAATTCATAGTTAAGACTCCAAATAGTTTGTTGTAGTGCTTTTTGCCTTCACTGAGATTTCACTTTAATCATCTCTACATTTTGAGCATGTTTTTAAGGCACTTAAAGCTCATGTATATTTTTCTTGTTATTTTTTAACATCTAAGTAGGCAATAGGAAATAGCTGAGCAAGTGAGATTGTCCTAAAAGCCTGTCCACACGTCGTGTATCTGAGTCTCTAGTCTTCCTCCAATTGTTCTTCCAGAACTCTTGTCTGGTTCAGCATACCCATTGTGCTGTCCCCTTGATAGAGTCTTTTTTTTTTTTGACTTTTTTTGAGAAATGGTCTAACTATGTACTCCTAGCTGGCCTAGAGCTCTCTATGTAGACCAGCCTGGCCTTGAATTCACAGAGATCCACCTGCCTCGGCTTCCTGAGTGCTAGGATTAAAGGCATGCACGCCCAAACCTGACTTTTCTTGATAGACCCTTCATAACAATTTTTTTGTGTCCAAAGAAGGTGATGGTCCTATGTTCAAAAATACCTTCTCATGTGATAACCAAGCTGAAGTAATAATCAGAGACAGTTCAGAGGAATATATACAGGATAATTATTAAACATGTTTCTAGGGCTGGAGAGATGGCTTAGCAGTTAAGAACACTGTTCTTGCAGAAGACCTGGGTTCGAATCCCAGCACCCACATGGCAGCTAACAACTGTCCATAACTCTAGTTCCAGGGGATTCAACAGCCTCACCTGTCTTCTGCAGGCATTGGATGACACGGGTGCACTTACCTAGATGCAGTGCAATACACGCATACACATAAAATAAAAATAATAAAATATAAAAAACATGTTTCTAAAATAATAATTTGTAGCTGTTATGAAGAAGTGCACAGTGTAGTGTGGTAGGTATGTATTTTTGTTGCATAAGGCAAACATTAATTTTGCAATAAAGCAGCATTTGTTTAATTTAATATGGAAAGGAGAGAAATGATCTGATGGTATTCTGAATCTTTCATTCTAAAAGAGCTAAAGCTTCTCCATAGCAGAACCACTATGGACATTAGTACATTTTACAATATATAAGATCACTGGAATTAGGGACAGGTTCAAGTTCTTGCTTTGAAATTTATAAGCCAGGTGATCTTTGACAAGTCACTTAATGACTGTGAGCCTTAGTTTTATCATATTTGAATGAAACTAATAGTTTTTGCATTGACTACTACATAGGATTGTGGTGAGGATCAGATGGAATAAAGGATATAAAAATGCTTTAAGAACCATAAAATACCACACAAAGAGTTGTTATTCTTGGGAGCACAGCTTGTATCCATGATACATGCTTTTTAAAATACATGGCAGTGGACAATGATGAAGAGCTACAGGCAATCAACAGTTGCTGAGAGAGAGAATCAGTTTTCTCCAGGGATGAGCTTCCTGACAGGTTATCCAACCCAAAGTTATCACTATTAAACATGTGTACATATGAGCACACACTAAATGGACTCTCTCTCTCTCTCTCTCTCTCTCTCTCTATATATATATATATATATATGCGTCTGTATATATGTATGTATATTTATAAATGTATGTGTATATGTAACAATAATAAAGACGGCAAAGAATTGAGAGGGAGTGAGGGACATGAGAGGACTTGGGGGGGGGAGTGGGAGGAGTGGAAATGATGCAAATAGAGTACTCTTGTACTAAATTCTTGAAAAATAAAAAAAAATTAAAATTTTACTTTGTATTTTAAAGGAGCGATTCAATTTAAACTGAGCAAACCACCACTAAACCTTGCTAATATGCCCTATGGCTGGAGAAACTGCAAAGAATCATTCACCTGAATTATCAACACCTTTTCAGTGTGAGGGCAAGCTAAGACAAGCCTCATTCCCTCTCAGATGTCAGGCATGAGCTAGGCTATTGTGGAGGAAAAACAATGAAGGAACAGGAAAAGAACAAGGTTATGCTAACCATTGATTTGCTTGTGAATACTGGCACATTTCTGGTGATTAATTCATATTCAGCTCTTATCTTTTAAGAATGAAGGAAAGCATACCGCACTGGGCTTGCACTGTGGTATTTGATTATTGCCTGACTAGGAGAGCTAAAGGCAAAATGTGTGAAATACAATGTTGTTTATTGTGTGATGATGAAGGTAAAAGGTAGTTCTTAAATAGGAGCCGACTGTGTTAAGGACCAAGAAATGTCTGTAATGAAGATGAAGGCTCACATTTCCCTGCTGATTGGATGCAGCAGATTTTCTTCACATTCACAGTACTAGCTCAGCATTCAGATGGAATTCCAAACAGATCATGGAAACTTGAGCAATGGGGAACAGATTGCTCTGGAAAGGGGTCAAAGGAGAGATATCAAAATGTAGAGCATGGTGAATGTTTCCTATTTTAAGGACTTTATGAAGAAATCTTACTATTTTTGCTTACGGTTTTGTGTCTGAATTGAATATGTTTATAGACAATATATAATGCCTGATTCTTGAAGCTATTGCATAGCTGTACTGATTAAGCAAACTGAATGGAAATGGAAAGCACACACCACACTAATTTTTTACAACATATTTTCTACACTACTAGGAATAAAAACACTGATTTATAATTTGAATATTATCAGCTATTTAGCTTCTCACTGCCTTGCCTTTTTCTTCTTTTCTTGAGTTCATTGTAATTTATACTTTGACTATGAGATTCATGTTCTTTCCCTTCTGGATTACTGCTCCAGCTAAGGTGTGATATTCCTTTTATCTAAGTTCTTACAAAATGTTCTGAATAACCAGTAGGTCTGCTTATATTTATGTTTTCCTAGTCAGATCAGTCAGTTTGGATAGCTCTTATCATGGATATCTTAATAATTGCACTTTAGTTGTAGGAAGGGATGTTTGGAAGTCCACTGGCATAAAGTTGAAAAACTACATATTTCATTATATTTCTGCCAGATCCTGTGCACACATGCAAATGGAAAAAAATCTGCCTTCTTTTCTTTCCTTTTTAAAATAAATAGATGGGATGTGACTGAAACCTCCAAGTAGGAGAAAGATGAAAGTATTTTTCAAGATTTAATGATAACTATTAGAATCACATTTTGAAAGACCAAAGCACTTTCAATTTGTTTCATTTGCTTTTGGCAATGAGACAGTCACACAAGTGCAACAGCCTGTATTAGTTCTTCATTCTCTCAACTCTTGACCCACTGTTTGTCATACAAAGTTCAAAAGAGACTCCATATTTCATTTTCCCCATATCTGCAGAAGAGTCAGTATATATTTTTATCCAATAGAAAGTGCAACTTCCTTTTGAACATGGAATTAGCATTTTCTAACATGTGCCTGATTTGGTAGCCCTTTTCTTAGAAAGTAGTGATTTAGAATTACTTTCAACATTTTTGAAAAAATATATAGCTGGTAAAAACCATCTTTAAAGTGCAACCACAGATATACATTTTAAAGATACAGTGGGTATCAAGAGTTTACATTCACACGGCATTAGCAAGATTGTCCTAAATAACACAGACTTGTTTAACCGGATGATTTACATAACACTTCTTAAATCTCAGTGTATTCAACATGGAAAACATTTTCTCATTGCTTTGCCTTCTGGTAATTTCAGTATTGCCTATCAAAATGCAAAAGGATATGGGGTAATAATGTTACATATTGAATCAGGTATGCATTTGCTTTTGGGGGAACCATTTAGGATTTAAGAAAACTTACTCTCCAGTATTTGATGAAATAGCTGAAGACTGTTGTGGCAATGTACAGGCAGTACAAAACGGAATAAGCTAAGAATTGAAGAAAGAATTTGTAGTTGGAAAATCCAATGCAGTTATTAACCCTAAAAAAAAGAAAACTAATTTGAAACCAGGAACTATCGACTGAGAACATACTGACACTTAAGTAGACTAAGCAATGGAAGCATGTTACTCCTGCTGCTTCATTACTCGTCATGTAGAAACCCAACAAAGATACAAGTCCCTTAATAGGAACAGATTAGAAAAACAAGTTCATATCTCACTTGTTTCTTTTTTTCATTTACAGGCACAGAGTCACCTGAACTACCTAATAGCTTTAGACTGCTTCCTGACACACCCAAGGAAACCTAGATCTGCATTGCTAAAAACATATTAAAGTCTTAGCTACACTTTGTAGAGTCTTGACATGTTCGCTTTGTAATTAGGTGATTTCAGATCGGTTCTTTAGGTCAGATATGCAAATTTTGTAGAATTGCTGAATTTAACAATTGGCAATATTTCAAAATGAAGTCAGTTAGAAACAGAAATGGACTGTGTAATGCAGAAGAGGAGAAATCCTTGTGCTGCATTTCATTACTGTGCTCAATTGCTAAAGTTAATGGATAGAAGACTATTAGCTTTGTGACCTCAGGAATTCACTACCATACCTTTGGTGGTATTTTTATCCTTGATTTAAAATATTATCTCTCCCCTTTCCCCCCACATAAATACAAAGTCCAGTGAATTATGGTAGTACAAATAGGCATGTTACAATTCTGCTTAGGAAATTGAACATATTGAACAACCTTGACCCTTTTAGAGGAGAGAAATGAAACAAAAGGACATACCAAGGGCAGTGATGGTCCATTTTTAAAACACACCTTCAAAGGAGACAAAATACATTGTGATAAATATGGCTACAGAAGTGAAGAAGCACCTCAAAATTGAACTCAAGGCTGTAGCAATATTTGTACATGTTTCAGGCAAACTATCCACAAACTTCCACTATGGAAACTCAAAAATTACTACATCCTTAGTTATTCTCAGGATGATCCAACCACAGGAGCATTATAGGCTTATACTTCCAGCAAGTTATATGCCTAGAAGTGCAACTTTGAAAAAGATTAGGAACACCAGATTGACATAGTGGAAAGCTTCAAGATGCCACCTTTAGTTTTGTTTACTTAATTTAATTAAAACAATACAGGACAAAACATATGGCCTATGTTTGAATCAATGGCAGGAGAAATATGGGTGGATAAGGCATTCAAGACCGAAGGCATGAAGATTGTATATACTGACAGAAAAATGTGATTTTACAAAATGGAACAATTTGAGAAACAAAATAAACAATATATTATTGGTCTATAACACAAAATAGAAAATGAATATTTGTACGTCCATATAGATACAAATAAATGATTTAATAAGCAAATAAATATGTGGAGAAGAGGTACATCTTCTTATGCAGAAGAATTCCAAATACTTTATTTAGACACTTCACCTTCAAGGACAGAAATCATAAGTTCCCATTACTTTAATGTGAACTGTGTGCAGTGACCTCCTTCAAAAAAGTATAGTTTAGAAATGAGAGGGGGACAAAATAATTTTACAGTGGAGACACCTGACAAACACCACTTGAGTACCATGATCAATATTAACATTATAGTGAAAAGCTGTGTTTATATGTCCTTGATATAATGTAACAAGAATGGTAGTTTAGCTCTACGGTCTTCCTCTGCAAATCACATTACCCTGATCCTGAGAAAATGTCTAACAAATTCCAAATGAGGAATACTTTATAAGGCATTTGATACTTCATTTCAAAACTGTCAAGGTTATCAAAGCTAAATAAAATCTGAGAAATTGCCACAGATTAGAAGACTTAAGGAGACATGACTACTCAATGTAATGTGGTATACTGGATGGAATCCTGGAACAGAAAAAGAATATTAGGAAGAAAGCGAGTAGAACTAAATAAAGTATATCCCAGTTAAAAATTATACATCAATTGGGGCTGGAGAGATGGCTCAGTGGTTAAGAACACTGATTGTTCTTGCAGAAGACCTGGTTCGAATCCTAGCACCCACATGGCAGCCAACACTTAAAATTGATTTGTTGGGACTGGAGAGATGGTTCAGTGGTTAAGAACACTGACTGTTCTTGCAGAAGACCCAGAATCGAAACCCAGCATGCACATGGCAGCTAACAATTATCCGTAACTCTAGTTCCAGGGGCTCTGACAGCTTCTTCTGTCCTCCGCAGGCATTGCACGGCACAGGTGCACTTACCTACACGCAGGCATAACACTCATACACATAAAAAAAATAATAAACAAAATATTAAAAATAAGAAAAAAAGAAAAATTATACATCAATTATCCAACAGATAACTTACACAGATGACATCTGAACAAGGATATGCATACAGCATTTGTATGAATAGTAAAGACTGTAAATCACATAATGTTCCAATAATGAGAATTTTTTGAATAAATAAACTATACTTTAATGAAAAATTAATGACTCAATATTGGTTTATTAATTTTAACAAATGTACCATACTAATGGAAGGTAATAATAGGGGAAGGTGGGTGTGGGACATATGAGAGGTATCTTCACAATGAATTTATAAATTGAAATCATTTAAAATAAAACATTTCTTTTTAAAATGCGTTTTAGTTTTCTATCTTTAGACTAGTGTGAATGATCATCACCTCTGTGAGAGTGTTTGGCATGTACTCATTATGCCTGAAAGGAAATGCTCTTATCTAGGCATGGTTACATGTTAGGATCAGTCATTCTGTTGCCTAGGCAACCATCAGTGAGTGGCCAAGATCAGCCCAGGAAAAGGATAGCTGTCACTTACATGGCACAGACAGAACAGTGATGGCAGCGGTCTGGCTTGATTAGATGGCACCGGTCACAGAATCGTACAGCTATAGGAAAAATAAGGTGGTTAATATGTGTAGGGGATCAGTATAAGGCCTTACATTTTAATAGTTTATGGAGATACCTTGTTATACACTGATTACAGATGCTCAAATTCATCTCAAGTTGCCAAGCAAAAGGTGATAGATAACATAGTAGATCGCAGTAGGTATTTTTTCCTTGCTGGATCAGTTTTAAAAGCACCTTTAGGTGATGAATTAAAGAGGTAAAGTTAAGTATTTTGATAACTGACTATAAGGTTTTTATATTCTAAAATAAACTACTATAAACTGAGCGATATTTGGAACTCATTTAGTCTTATTTTCCAACTTTCCTCTCTGAAATTAAGGATTCATAATTTATCTCTTATTTCCAGAGGTTAAATTGTATAAAGCAGATGAAATACCTACAATATGGTAAAGTGAGTGGTTTGTAGAATAACAATTTGGAGACTAGAAGAGCCATTCTATCTAGAACAATTAGTTTAATTTGACATTTCGTAGATAAGAAAATAAAAATGTGGGCCATATAAAGTACTGTGCTCAAGGTCATGTCACAGCAAAGAATGGCAAGGTGCTGACCTGTACATTTTTTTCTGACTAGTTTAGATTTCTATTCATCTATAAGTATGACACAAAAAACCCTCCTTCCCTCTTTTCCTTTCTTCTTTTCCAATTAAAGGCTTTTTTCTTTCTTTCTCATTTTCTCCACATTTACTGATAGAGTATTGCTGTATATAATGTGATTATTAATTCTCAAACCTAAAATTACATATAATTTGAGAACTATAATAATCCTACCTAAAGTGTACCTTAAGCACACATAACTGATTTAACAATAGGCTTTGAATTCAGTAGAGTTCCATGCTCATTTCTTCTAATGAGGGTGTGTGTGTGTGTGTGTGTGTGTGTGTGTGTGTGTGTGTGCAAGCATAAATGTATAATTGAGTCAAGAAGGAAGGGAAAAAGACATGTATATTTTAGTCTTTTGGATTTTTAAAAAATTTTATGGTTTTTGAGACAGCGTCTTGCTATGTAGCACAGACTGGTCAGTCTCAAACTCTTGATCCTCATGCCTCAGCTTCTCAAATGCTAGAGTTCCAAGGTACATGACACCCCATTTGCTTAGTTTATTATTTATTTATCTATTTATTTTCAAAACAAAGTCTCACATAGCCTAGGCTGCATTTGAACCCACTATATAGCTCCTTCTTCCAAATCTCGAGTGTTGAGATTATAGACATATGCCCTCACTCCCTGCCAACATATGTGAAAAGTTACTGGCCATTGCCATAGTTTAAACCACCACAATTTTTCACTTAGATGCCTGAAATAGTTTTTCACTTGATCACTCTGCCTTCATTCTTGCTTCCCTACAATATGTAATACAGAATAGCTAAATGGTCAGTTAAAATGAATATCAAATCATATTACTATGCACTTGGCACTCAATGGATTTAAAAGACTTTTAGAATAAGATCCAAATTCCTTCCTTATCATGGAAGCATCTTCTGGCCTCTGTGTAACTTTATGAACTTTGCTTGTACCACTCTACCCACTGTGCTCCAATGACATTAGCTGACTCTCTGTCTTTGTAAAACTGCAAGTTCCAGCTGTCTTGGAGGGTTTGCAGGTCTGTATGTCTTGTGTGGTCATCTCTCTGCTCTTTGAATAGTGTAATGGCTAATTTTATGTGTCAACATAATTGGGTAACCATATAATTGGATAAGTTTTATATCTGGGTGTCTAAGACAGTATTTCCAGAGAGTGACCTTTGAATTGGTAGACTCGGAAAATCAGATTGTCTTCTGCAGTGTGGGTGGGCTTCATTCAATCGAAGAAGGGCTTGAATAGAATCAATAGGCAGAGAAAGGGAGAATTTGTTCAGGGTCTGACTGCATGAGCTGGGACATCAGCCCTCTGCTCTCTTTGACTGGGACTTAATTGATCAGGACTCCTTGTTCTCAGACCTCCAGACTTGAGCTGAAAATTATATCATCAGCCCTCTGTTTCTCAAGGTTTTAGATTTGGGCTAGAATGTACATTGTTGGCTCTCCTGATGTTTAGGCCTTTTAACTCAAACTGGAGATACATACCACCTCTTCTGGCACTGCAACATATACAGTGAAAAGTGGGACTTTTCAGTCTTTGTAGCTGCCTGAGTTAAATTTTCATAATAAATTATCTATCTATCTATCTATCTATCTATCTATCTATCTATCTATCTATCTATCTAATCATCTGTCTATCTATCTATCTATCTACCTATCTATCTATCATCTATCATCTACCTATCATCTACCTACCTATCATCTATCCATTTACCTATCTATCTAATCCAATCTCCTTCTAATTCTCTTTCTTCAGAAAATAAGGAGTAATAAATATTTTCATAATGAGAGGGATTCTAGAGGAATGGAAATATATGGATAAGTTTTCTGGATTTTCTATGGAGTTTCTGGATTTGGCTCTCCAATTTGATTCAACTTAAAGATGGCAATTACTGCATTTCAGTAGTAAAGAGGTTATTGGTAATCCATGGAATGCTCTGGAAGTGGAGATAAGCAACTCCAATGGATGCTTTTAATTATCACAAGAAGCAAGCAGCTAGGTGACTATGCATGTGATTGTTTTGAACATTTTTAGAGAACTGACAAATATAATGAGATTGGCTGGTTGTTCCTAACATCACTGGAAAAGTGGTGGAAGAAAAGGATAAGCCAGTGTTTCGAATTTCCTGCTCAACTGCTACATAAATAAGTTGAAAGTGTCTATGCTTCTGAAGGAGATGCTTATCTCCTGTAGCCACAGTACAGCGATTACTCAAACCCAAATGCAGAATTCATTTTGAGACTACTTAAATCATAATGCAAGTCAAAATCTCAAACTTGTAGGATGTCTACTGCTAAATCAAGGGCACTGGTTGTGAAAGAGTGGGATTGTATAAGAAGACATGGTGAAGCCAGGGATAACAAATTCTGCTGAATCTCCTTTGCCAGCGGAAAGGGTCTCCCCACCACCAGTGGAAGCAGCCTCCTTATTATTGGTGGCATTAGCTTCTCCAATCCTGACTAAAGGGATTAATCCTACATTACACCTAAAAACTGTGGCCACCATGCAAGACAGCGCTGATTCCAGGACTCACTCCTCTTTGAGTCTACATGAATAATTAGATCCAAGCACTAGCAGGCACATAAAGGTGAGGTACACAGTATTACCTATGAGAGTGTACAATACACATGAAAAGAATTTCATGAGTTTTATAATATACACAAATATTAATCCAGGGAAAATATATGGGAATACATACTAAGGATGTTGGACATTGGTAGAAGGAATATAAACTTAGATCTAGATGAATTTATTTATATACAAGCACAGATTCTACATCTAATGTTGTAGCTCAGGGAGTTCAAGTGCTTCATGTTCTTACTTCTGTGTGTGTGTAAACTAAAAAACATTGATTTCAGAAAAGAGAGTAGAATAGTAGTCATCAGAAATCAGAAAGAGTTGTAGGGAGCAGGATAGAGGACGGTTGGATAAATAGGTATCAAAATAAAAAGAATAAATTCTAATGCTCCACAGCATTATGGTACTTTACCATATATTTTATAAAGAACTAAAAGAATGGCGTTTAAAGGTTCCCAACACAAAGAATTATAGATATTAAAGGATATGGAAATGCTAATTACCTTGATTTGATATTATACATTGTATAGCTGCATTGAATACCACCCTGTGCCCCCAAAACATGCCTAATTGCTCTGTCATTATAAACAGAAAAGATCATGTTAGATATGAAACAAAATATATCTCTGAGTATAATTTACCATGCATCTAGCTCATATCTTCTACTTTATCATATTTTGTTTATTACTGTCTAAAATTATGTAATTTTCAGCCTCGTTTTGGTAGGAATTTACACTCCATAAGAGACCTGGCCTATGTCTAAATCTGCATTCTTATTTGTTGGAATAGAGTCTCATACATATTAGCAGCCCTTAAAAATTACTATTATGGAAGTTTCTTTTTGTTGTTTGTTTTTTGTTTTTTTGAGACAGGGTCTCCTTGTAGCCCCAGCTGTCCTGGAACTCACTATGTAGACCAGGCTGGCCTCGAACTCACAAAGATCTGCCTGCCTCTGCCTCCCAAGTGCTAGGATTAAAGGCATGCACCACCACACCTGGCTATTATGGAAGTTTTGTATTAACTACTTTTTCTTGTCTCTGTGATAAATTATTTAGCTAGAAAAAATGTAAGGGAGGCATTTATAACAGTTCGTAGTTCAAGAGGATATTCCAGGGGCTGGAAATAAAGGTAAGCAGGTAAGAGCAATGACCGTTCTTGCAGAGGACCTAGGTTCAGTTCCCAGCACTGCCATGCTGGCTAACAACATTCTAGCTCCTGTTCTAGAGGATCAAATGCCCCCTTCTGGTATCTGTGGTCACTTCACACACAGGTGCACTTACATACATACAGACAAAACACTCATACACATAAAATAAAAACGAATAAATCAGGACGACAGTCCATGATGAAGGAGAAGGCATAGGAGCTGGAGCAGCCCATGGTTGTGGAGGTGGGAGGTGTCTCATATTTGTTTGGGTGGAACAGGAGGCAGATGAAGAGGAATGCTAGTGCCTCTCTGGCTTTCTCCTTTTCCTTTTTATTCAGTCTGGGACCTTAGCTCATAGAATTGTGCCACCCACATTCAGGACAGATCTACCCCACTCAGTTAATCCTCTTGGGAAAAGCCCTCAAAGTCATACTCCAGGTGTACCTTACTGATGTTCTATTCCTTCCTTCCTTCCTTCCTTCCTTCCTTCCTTCCTTCCTTCCTTCCTTCCTCCCTCCCTCCCTTCCTTCCTTCCTTCCATCTTCTTTTTTTTGAGACAGGGTCTCATTATGTAACCCTAGGTGGCCTAGAACCCTCTGCTTACACTAGGTTGGCCTCAAATTCACAGGGATGGGTCAGCCTCTGCCTTCCAAGTGCTGAGGTTAAAGGCATGTGCCACTACACCTGGCTGTATGCCTTTCTTAAATCAACCAAGTTGACAATTAAAATTAATCATCACCATTTCCAAATATCCACTGAAATAGAGTTATAGTACAACCAACTCAGTTTATCATTACCCAGCTTCAACAAATTCAACACTGTAACATTTTTGTTTAATCTGTTTCTTCCAGTGGCTTTTCTAGCTTAAAACTTTAGAGCAAATACTAAAACAAATCATAAGTACTTCAGTATATATGAATACTTTGAAAAGATCATAAATACTATGATGATACCTCTCTAACAAAATTAATAAAAATAATATTATCAAATACCTAGACCACATTAAAATTTCTCAATTAGCATATTGTACCTTAAGTCTTTGTCAAATAAATAAATGGTGAACAAATGAATGTAAGTGTCTCACAGTGTCTTTTCCAAACCATGACTCAACAGAAGAGCCTTGGTTTTCAAATTGTAAAAGGTGGACAATTGGTTCTGCAAGTACTGTTCTGGTAATACAGATACAACCTAAGAGTAAAATTCCACAAAGGATATTTAACCAAGAAATGTGAAGCATATCTTTCTTCATTTGTTTGTACAAGGATGTTCACCTCAGATTGATTCATATCTTGCTAAGCACTGGAAACAACCCAAATGTGTATCAACCACTAAGTAGACAAAATGATGCATTCACAGAATTTAATACTATTCAGCACTACATGGAATGAAATACACAACAATAAGAGTGACTCTCACAAACATTATACTGAATAAACTAAACTAAACATAAGAGTGAAAGCTTTATGATTCCTATTACATAAAAATCTAGAGGAAGCAAAATAATCACTTCAAAAAATATAAAAATAATCATTGTGTGTGTGGGTATGACAGAACTTTCTGGAGTGGGTGATGGTAATATTTTAGTGGCTTTGATTACAGATGTATATTTTTAAAAGCACATTTAATTGTACACTTAAGATTTTGCATATTTTTATAGGCAAATTTTATCCACAAAACATAACATATTTAGGCAGATATGCACTGATGTTTGCTATTTGCTTTGAAATGCATCAGAAAAATAAGATGGTCCCATGAGATAGATGGAGGGAAGAAATACACAAATAGGTATATAATAAAGCAATATAGAAAAGTGTTAGTGGCAGAATCCAGGGTATTACAATTACTTACAACACTTCCAACTTTGATGTGTTTGAAATTTTTTATAATGAAATGTCAAAAGAAGTTACACAGTGATTTTGAAAAGATGGGAGGAAAAGGGGCTAGTGTGAGAACATAGATGCCTTGGTCTTCCTTACATTCTTGCTAGCTGCTTCTCTAGCTGAGATGGTGAACTGACCTCCACTCCCGGTTCTTGTGTACACTGGCAGCTTCTTGGCCATATCAATAAGCATCTGCTTCTGGACCTCAGGTCTCTCTTCATTTTCATAGCGCTCCTTGTCTGTGTAGGACAAGTGGAACTGGAAGTAGAATAGGCAAGATTTTATTTTCTAAGGTCCCCAGACAGTATTAAAAACGATTACTACTGAAATGAAAATATTTGTTATCTATTCTTGAACTCTAAATATAAGTTTGGCTTACAAATTTCTCTTACTAATTATCTCATTTACCTTATCTGCATCTTATCTCATTCTATATAATCTTAAGAAATAGGTGGTGTTCTTTCATAAATAAAGTAAACCTCAGATAGATTATCTTGTTCAAGTTTGTACTCAATTTACTGATGAGTTGCAAACCTGGGCCCCAAATGCAGTTCATCTAATTCTAAGACTTGTGCTCTTTCCATTCCCACACACACACACACACACACACACACACACACACACACACACAAATGTTCAAAAACCAAAAAGTAAATTTAAAGAGAACCATGTCTAGTGGTGCATTTTATGGTATCATGCCATCCTCAAGTGAATGAGAATTAAGTGCCCTCCTGAGGATATGTGGAAGGAATAGGGAGCATTTGAGGCTGTTACAATAAATATGGTACAATATAAGCATTTAATTCTTAGCTCTGCATTCTACACTGAATCAGGTTGGCTTCAACCAAGTGAGAAAATAATGATTAAATACTGTAAATTGATATAAAAAAACTTGGGTTTCTTTTTTTACTAACATGAAAGCAAGAAATAAGAAATTTTAGGTTAAAAAATAGATAATCCAAAGCAGTGCCTTGTGGCAGTACTTTAATCTTCAAGGTATTCTCGTAAATTCAACTTCATCATGATACACTGCACCACTTGAAGGACACAGGCAGAGCTGTGCTGTTTCTACCTGGATGTGACAAATACCTTGTGGTCACTCCACAAGTCTGAAGTAAGGTGTCAGGCTAGATACTATACTTCTGACATTAATTAAGCCTCATTAAGAATTACAACACAATGAACTAATAAATGCATTTTGGGTGAGACAATTGATGACAGATTGGGATGTTTTGAGCACTAAAGGAATTGATACTGTGGCTACTAAACAGACCCAGAACTTTCTTTTCCACAAATTGAAAGTGATAAAGATGTAGTCTTCAACGTTAGACATTTATAGTATTTGGTTAAAACCTAATATTGTTTCATCCAGTTCAGTTGCATAAATTCCAAAGCATTTCTTTAGCTTTTCTACTGGCCTATAAGCTTTCAGACATAATACGAAGGTGGTACTTATTTTTTATTGAACTAAAATTTATATAAGATAAATTTTCACTTTAAAGTGTATATTTTATAGTGTACAAATTCTGTGGCATTTAGTACATTCACAATGTTCCACAAACACCACCACTACCTAGTTCCAAAACATTTCACCACCCCAAGAACACACCTTTCACTCATTAACTAGTTATATTTTTCTTCCTCTTGCCCCCAGACTGCAACCAGTAATCTACTACATGTGTCTATGAATTTGCCTTCGAAATGGTATAGCCTTTGGTGTCTGGTGTCTTTCAATTGCCATAATGTTTCAAGGATCATATACGTTGTAGCATATTTAAGTAATATGACCAATACATTTCTGGTGTGTGAGTGGACATGGAATAGGTTCTTCATCCATTTTTCCACTGATGAACAATTGGATGGCTTCTAATTTTGGCTATGGTGAATAGTGCGCTGATAAAGAGTAGTTGTGCATAAGTATTTATTTGAATGCTTGCTTTCAATGACATTTAATAGACACTGATGAATGGAATTTATGGGTCACATGGCAACTCCATATTTTGATTTATGAGTGAAAGAAGAGCTATTAAGCATAGCAGCCATACCATTTTATATTCCTAGTAAGATTTAGAAGAATTCTGAATTATTTGCACTCTCACCAATACTTGGTATTTTTAATTCCTTCACTAAATTTTGTCCTTCCAGGTGGTTGCAGTCCCATCATGGTCTAGATTTGGATCTCTCTAAATGATTAATGGTGCTTATGAACTTTACACGTGCCTATTAGATATCTGTATATATTCTTTAGAGAAGAAATGTATATTCAAGACCTTTCTACATTTTTAATTAGGTTGCCATTTGCTATTGAATTATAAGAATTCTATTTGTATTCTGAGCACTGAACACATCAGATGTATGAATTGCAAATATTTTTTCTGTGTTTTGAATGGTCTCAGTATTTGGTTTATTACCCTTCTAACCGTCAAGCCCTTTCTTTAAGCCCAGTTTTAGATCACTCTTCATTATCTGGTTCTCTAAAATGTCAAAACAGATTATTTGAGATATTTATCCTTTATAATGTGTTTATAAATATAAATTTTCCTGTGAGCACTGTTTGATTGCATTCTATAATTTCTAGTATGTTGTGTCTCATTTTCATTTCCCTCCAAGTATTTTTAAATTTTTCCATGAGTTCCTTTTGCTTCATTGCTTAAGAGTGTATATAATTTCCCCACATTTGTGGATTTATAGCTTTCTTTTATCTTGTTGATTTTCAGCTTCATATTCCATTGCTGTCAGAGAAAATACTCTGCATAGTTTAAGTCTCTTAAAATTATCGACTTCTTTTGCAGCCTCATAGATTTTCTATATTGGAGAATGCACTGTGTGCAATTTGAAAGAATGTATATTCTGCTATTTGAGGGCAGATTATTCTATACATGTGTGCTCAAATATTTTTACTTTTGATATGTCTAGGTCTCTAAAATGTCAAAACAGATTATTTAGTTATCCTTTTTAATGGTGTTCTATTCACTATTTTAAAATGTATTATTGGTACCCTTACTATTGCTGAAGTGTATTTTTTTTTATCAATTCTACCAGTTGGTGCTTCTATTTTTCAGGTTCATTTTTTTTCAATTTTTATTTTTAAAATACAGTTTTATTGATTATTTGTAGATTTCATACAATACATATTAATTATATTTAGCCCCTGGTTCCTTATCTATACCCCTCCATACCCTGCCTACAGGACTTAATTCATTTTGTCATGTATGTTAAGGCCTATTGAGTCAAGTTTGTATACCTAGTAGATGTTCTTCGGTGTGAGCTCATCCACTGGAGCCTGTTCAGTCTAGAGTCACTCACTTAAAGGAGATCAACTCTCCCTCACCTACCAGTGATCATCTGCCAATAGTTCCTTGGCTAAGGTTAGGGCTTTCTGCCCATTTCCTCAGTTATGCTGGTTTTTGTCTGATTGAGTTTGCATGAGTCTTGTGCATACTGTCACCGTTGCCATAAGTTCATATGAGCAAGGTCCTAGGAGTCTGTAACACTCTGTTTCCTTATGGTCATGCACCTCCTCCCTTGGCTCTTACATTCTTTCCACCTTCTTCAGAAATGGTCTCTTAACCCTGGGTGGGTGAAGTTTAATATAACTCTTATATACTGATGCATTAACTTTGTTTTTTGAGGTGCTGCAGACTGAATCCAGCAACCTGCTAGCTAAATGTTCTAACACTGAGTCATATATCTCAAATTGGCCCTTTTATCAATATACAGCACATTTCTTTTTCTTGTTAAGTGTTTCACCTAAATTCTCTTCAAATTTTTAAAATTATTTTTATTTTATGTGTATGCATGTATTGCATGCTTGTAGGTAAGTGGTCCTGTGTCATACAATGCCTGCAGAGGACAGAAGAGGCTGTCGGATCCCCTGGCACTGGAGTTATGGACAGTTGTTAGCTGCCATGTGGGTGCTGGGATTTGAACCCGGGTCTTCTGCAAGAACAACCAGTGTTCTTAACTGCTGAGCCATCTCTCCAGCCTCCCCTTTAAAAAAAAATTTTGTGTTGCTACAGCTCTAACTCAGAGCCTCACACATGCCAGGGATGTACTGCATTTCGAACAACCAACCCCAATATCTCTCTCTCTCTCTGTCTCTGTCTCTGTCTCTGTCTCTGTCTCTCTCCCTCCCTCCCTCCCTCCCTCCTTCCATCACTTCTTCACTCCCTTCCTTCTATCTGTGTGAAAATGCCCTTGTTTGGTACTAGCTTAGGCATTTTCACTCTCTTTTGATTACATTTGCTTATATTTTTCTATCCCTTTACTTTCAGTTTATGTCTTTAGTTCTAAATTTAACTGTATTATTTGTGAATCTCAGGCTTTTATTGACTATATATGTATATATTTGAGACAGGGTCTCACCATGACAACTGGCTAGGCTGGAACTCTCTATGTAGACCAGGCTGGCCTGGAACTCAGAGAAGGGCCTGCCTCTGCCTCCCAAGTGCTGATATTAAAGGCATGTGTCACCATGCCCAACCCAATAATAATATTTTTAAAATTTGTTTATTTTTTGAAGTAAACCTCATCCTGTAGCTCACACCTGCTCTCATAGGTATGGTAATCCTCCTGCCTCATCCTCCAGAATGTTGAGATTAAAGGCATAAATCACTATGCCCAGCAATCTCAGTCTTAAATGGATAGATTTCATGTAATTATTCACTGGAAAAGAAACCTGGCATTTTTCTCTTTAATTACTCAATACCTGCATTGCTGCCTTTCTCTGAACTTTAATTTTTTTTTCCTTCACTTTGTTCTTTCTCTGGTACCTTGTGTCCTTGGGATCAAAGCCTCTTTGCCTGGCGCCAAACAATGCCTAGTGTGGGGTTCTGGCCACGTAATTCAGTATGTGGAAGGTCTCTGACTCTGTTCCTAGTACTGCAGGGCCACCTCCTAGCAGCGGCTGTAATCAATCCACTTCCACCAGTCTCCCTTGATCTTAAACTTTTTGTGCACAGCTAGAAGGCAGTTTGAATGTTGGTGTTTGTATGCAATTCTGTAGGCCGGGATCAGATGTACCAGCTCACAAACAAGCCACACCGCCTTCTTCTGCCAGGGCATGTTGGCTATGGCGAGGCTGCTGGCTGAGCTCTCTCCACAGCAGGCCATGCCCTTCACTGAAATGAAGCTGGGGTTTCCCCGGGCGGGGGGCGCTCGGCATAGGCCTGGACTTCATTCATATTCCCACACTTCAGGAAAGCATCAGTCTGTATACTTTCGTTATTGGTGGGAGAAGGGCTGGATGATGCAGCCGTAGGAAAGGGAGCTGGGGAAGTGGCTCACTGTATAAGAGCACTAGCCTTGCATTCATGAGGACTTGAGTTCAAACCCCCAGCACTCATGTAAACAGCTGGGGTGCACCTATAACTCTAGTACTGTGTGGGGTGGAGACAGGAGGATACCCAGAGCTGCTGGTTGCCTGTCTGGCTTCAGGTTCAATGACAGAACCTGTTTCAAGGAAATAAGGTAGAGAGTGATAAAGCAGGGCACCCGACGTCCTCCTCTGGCCTCTGTGTGTGCCAGGCACACTTATGTGCCCCCCTCCCCGACAGGCAGATGTAGGAAAGGGCTAGCCAAGACTAAGAAGCATAATGGATGATGACTAGGGGAGACTTGGGCCAGACCTCACCCTAGAACAATTTTGAAAAAGAACAACTTGATCTGATTTGCATTTTAATGAGATCACTGGACCTGCAGGTTAGAAAAGGGCTTGGAGAGACCAAAAGGGAGAGTTGAGCTGGTAAAGCATTTTCATAGAACAGGCTAGAAGTAATGCTCCCGTGTGGTGTGCTTGTGTAGGGGTAAAGGGATGATATTTGCACAGTGTAAAACCTGTGCACTGGGTTTCAGAGCTGTGGATGGATCTGAGAGAGATCTAGAAAGTAAACTTAATGAATGTGGCTGCAAACTGGTTAGGGGAGATAGGGAATTCAAAGGTCAATGCTGACCCAACAGGCCTGGCCTAAGAACAGGAGGGGTGATGGAGGTATCACTTTCTCTGTGAGAGTATGTCAAGACAACACTCAAAAAGGTCTGGAGACAAGCTAGGGGGAACAAATATGTGAATCATCATGGTGAGAGTTATCAAAACCGAGGCTAGAGGCAGCTGAGTGGTTAAGAGCTTTTGCTGCTCTTGCAGTGGACCTAAGTTCTGTTCCCAGCATCCACATGGCAGCTCACAAGTACTTGTAACTCCAGCTCCAGGGGATCTGAGGCCTTCTTCTGGGCTTCATGATACTGCACTCATTTCCACATACACATATATAAACATAATTAAAAGATAAAATAAATCTTAAAAGAAACCCCCTAAAACATGAGGAAGAATGACCTTACCTATGGAGGATGTAACATGAGACCAAGATATCCTACTGGTAGCCTTGATTATCTGGAGCATAAGAAGTGGTGATACTGGCCTGGGGCTCCCCAAGTAAGTGACACTGGCTGGTAAGCTAGCCTCCTGGGCATTGTTGAATAAATTTAGCTGGGCAGTGATGAATGTTCTTGGCCATACATCTGTTTAGATATTTTGTTCTTTTCATTTCATACAATAAAGTATCTTTGGTGAAAGCAATTTTTTCTTTTGTACTATTTTGATTCTGTAAAATAGATGATTTAGATCAACATTTTTTGTGATAACAAGGTTGGAAATGTCTCTCATTGTTTTTTTTCTACTTCCAAATCTAATTTGGTTTAAAGTAGCTACATGTAACAATGCCTGATATGATCACAAATACTTTCCTGAACTCTTGCCAATAGTGAATAAAATATGTGGATTAAAGGGAATATGGCTAAAAATGATTGAATTATTATATTTTCTCAGTTTCTATATATAATAATATGCTTTCATAGACTTGAACTACATGAGGTTTCAAAATCTAAGTGGGTTCTTGTTCTAATCAGATCACCATTGTAGATCCTGGTTTTCTAGTCTCAAAGATATTTAAAGCTAGTGATTTCACAAAATTCTTCCATAGCCTAGTCTATCCTTAATTCATGCAACTGAATCCCTTTCAGTTTTTCCTTAGCTTGGCAAGGTGGTGTGCCATTGTAGTCCCAGATATTCAGGAGGGCTGAAGGAGGAACACCCAAGGTTATGAGTTCAAGGCCAGTCTGGGCAACACAATGAGACCGTGTCTGAAAAAAAGGTAGAATTCCATTTCTTTTGAATTGGGAGGTTATCTGTGCCTCCTTTTGTATTCTTCTTGCTTAGTTCATATCTTCACTTTCTTTTGTTCTTAGCCTTGTGAAGTTACAAATATTCTTACCTTCTGATTTGGCTGCTGTGGGAGTGTAAAGATAGACTTCCAGTAGGTCCATGTGAAGAATACAAAGATGGCATGATAGAGTATGAGGTAGATAACTGAAATACAAGAAAAAAGCAATGTTTATACTTTTAATCTGTTTCTCAGCATTCAAAAAGACAAGACTCAGTGACAAATATCTACCTTATTTTCCTATTACTATGTATTCTCTAGTATATTATGAAATGTTAATTACTACAATTTTCCCGTGAAGAGATAGAAATGAGCCAGAATACCAAATTTTGAACCAGAAACTTTCTAGACGTTATAGCCTTCAAAAGTTGCCCTGTGATTCTGTGAGTAAAGAGAGAAAATGTCCTCTGTGATTATACATGAGAAGCTATTTTAGCCACTTGTCATTTGCTCTCTGCCACTGTGGGTGCTAAAAGGTTATGGTGATATAACTTGTACAATACTTCAGCGTTTACAGCATGTTTTTAAAAAGATATTGTGTGTGTCTCTCTCTGTGTCTCTGTGTATTTGCCATGGCATACATGTAGAGTTCAGAGGACAACTTATGGAAGTCAGTTGTCTCCTTTCACCAAATGAATTCTGGGGATTGACCTCAGGTCACCAGGCTTGGCTGCATGCATCTTTACCCACTGGCTCATCTGGAGTGCCCACAAAATACTTTTATATATGTTATCTCATGTTATTTTTCTCTGTAACTTTGTTGAGATAGATACTATCATAGGGCAGGTAACTGTCTATCAGGGGGTGGTTGATTAACCAAAGTCACACAATCTATAATGTAGCCAGGCATCAAATACAGGATTTCTGACTCCAAATCTAAAGTTCTTTTCAGTAGCTCCATAGACTATAGAGTTTAGAAGCAGGTGTTGTACCTTTGAAAGAGATGACACGTGACTCTCCACTACCTTTCTTCTCATATTCTTTGCCATTTAGACAGTTCAATTGTGGTATTCTCCAAAGAGGTGGTTAAAGGATAGAAAGTTACTTCAGTGTTTCATTGCAACTCCTTGAGTGGCATGGTCTTATTACTTCAATCCATCAAAAAAGTCTCAAGGGAATGATGTAATTCAAGACCAAGACAACAAGGCTGAGCTTCTTATACATTTACTGGTGAACTGAACAAAGCCTTATTCCTTTGGCCCAGTGCTCCCAGCCCCTTAATACAAGACCTTTTATATATGTTTTATTTGTGAGACTATAAAACCTCATTTTAAAATTCAAGAAATAGGGGCTGGAAAGATGGCTCAACAGTTTAAGAGCACTGGCTGCTCTTACAGAGATTAGGTTTGATACCCAGCACCCAAATGGTGGCTAATTGCAGTTCTAGGGAGTCCAACACCATCTTCTGATCTCCGTGGGAATTGCATGACATGGGTTCACTTACTTACATGCAGGCAATACACTCAACATATATAATAAAATAAAAATAATAAACAAAATATATTTTAAAATTCAATAACTATATAGTAAAAGATAAATGCCTACTCCATATATATGTTCAACTTGTCACCTCCTCATGCTAAGGGTGTGCATCATTCTAAATTCTCTCGCTTGTACATACTACATAAATATAATAAGCATGACATCTTTATAACATTCAGAATATTTTTGTAATTGTCTTTCAAAAAGTAGTACATTCTTAAGCTTTTTAAAATTTGAAGGTACAGAAAAAGTATATGGTGAAATCTTTCTCTTATATAGTTTTCTTCTTTGGAAACAACTAACATCACAGGCCATAAGTTCAGGTTTTATATTTATAAAATAATCCAAACAATGTACTTTTCCATACTCAGAGAAGTAGTGTGCAGACTATTTACAGAGTGTTTTACACCATACATTTTTTTGCTTATTTCAATTTGGAGATTATTTCACTCAGCATAACTTGGAGTTTTTCTTTTTCTTTCTTTTTACTTTGTCTTTTGAGATGGGGTCTTCCTGCAGCCCTATCTGGCCTGGAACTCCCTACATCGACCAGGTTCGCCAGGATTTCACAGAGATCTGTCTGCGTCTGCCTTCTGAGTGCTGGAATTAAAGGCATTCACCACCATACCTGGCATTTCTTATTCTCTTTAAGTGTCAGTAGTGTGCTAAATGAGACATCTAAATTACATCCCTCCTCTCAAGGCTCAGGGGTTGTTGTGGAAGAGGGGGCAGAAAAAATTTAAGAGTCAGAGGCTAGGGAGGACTGCTGCAAAACTATTTTCTGGACATAACAGTGCCATTGCACTGAACTCACAGAGGATAGTATTTAAAATAGTTATAAATTATATTGGTTTAGGCAAGTAACAGTAGTAGGTTCTCCTCTAGGGTCTATGATCTCTTCAGCCACTTGTAGTTGGCTGTGTTTATAGAACCAGGCATAGATTCCCTCCTATTGAACAGGCCTTAAGTCCAATTAGACAACTGTTGGTTAGTCCCCAAATAAAAGTGCCACTATTGCACCATCAGGGATATTTTTCTGGGGGCAGTCATTGTGATTCATAGCTCTAAACACTCATCAAAGAAGCTTCTTTTTTTTCAATATTATTTTTTATTGAATGTTTGTGTATATTTGTGCAAAAGATGGAAAATATTACAGAGATCCACAACTGGTAAAAAAAGCAAACAATAAGTGACTGTGGGGTACCCAGCTCCAACTGATATATCGACAATGAAACTGCTGCATCTAAGGCTCAGGGCACATCACAGAGGAGGGAGTGGGAAGATCGTAAGAGCCAGAGGACCAGAACACCTGTTAGATGGTGTGCCCAACCATGGCAGGGAAGCTGCACCAGTGAAATCTCAACAATATAGTTGCCTAAACAAGACCTGCGTGATAATAACAGGTGACATGCCAAGATGAATGGGGGAAATTACACAGGGTCCCATCCTTAAATGAAGAGCTACAGGCAATCAATGGCTGTTGAGAGAAGGAGAATTAATTTTCTCCAGAGATAAACTTCCTGATAGATTATTCAATCCCAAGTGTTCAGCCCAAAACACATGCATTTATGAATAGCACTAGATGAATTCAGTAGGTTATATGTATGTATATATATGTACAAATATATATACACATCTGTATATATGTAAGTGTAATAATTAACGAAGAGGTCATGCAATTGAGGGTGGATGTGTAAAGAGTTTGAGGGGTATAAATGATATAAATGCAGTACTCATGTATGCAATTCTTAAATTTTTTTTTTAAAATTCTGACAGAGGTTATAGCTACATGCCCCAGACTTATACATGATCAAGTGAATCAATGTTGCAGCCTGGATGGGGAGGGGCCTATAAGGTCTCACACCTAGCTGAGGGGCTATTGACAGTTGACAGCTGCTAGGGGGAGGGAGGGTCAGTTTTCTTCGGGGATGTGGTCCCTGGTAGGCTATCCATGTTCCAAAGCATACAGGCAGCACTCACTGGATTCAGTGGTCTAAAAAAAAAGTACATGAAGTTGGGACATAGAAGTGGTGGGGTATAGAAGAAGTTGGAGGGGAAGGAGTGTGAGGTATAGTTGATCAAAACACATTGTATGCATGTATAAAATTCCCAAATAATAAAAAAGGTTGCATGGGATTCTACTGAATGACTGTACCTATATCATATATTAAACCAAACAGATTTTGATTTAAATTCAATTTTCCTCCTCTACTGTTAATAAAAATATTTCCCTGAATATTTTGTATATGAGTTATCAGCACATGTACAGAGAATCTGCATGATCAATTCCATGAAATGGAATTGTCAGGCCAAAAGTTATGGCTTTTGATAGCTATTGCCAAATTGTCATTCAGAAAACTTACATTTTTATTTATATCTTATCAGCAATAAATGAGAGAGTTTCTTCCTCCACAGCACAGCCTTTGTAGTAAAGAATTGTCATAATTTCTTATCTTAGTTAAGACTAACATTTTTTCTTTAATATGTTATTCTTTGCTATGATTTTTAATTCTCTGGATTTATGGTTATATGGAAAGTTTCATTACTACCTGACAGAGAAGGGATGTGTTCATTCATGTTAATTCATTATGGAATGGGAGTATGGAAGCTTTGGTTTTAAAAGGATCAGAAGAAAATAATTTTATAATTATGTTGTCATTGTATACTTCAATGGTAATGGGATTAAACACATTGTATTACCTAAATTGCTGAAAACCAAACTCCCACAGTATTTTATGGGCTTTTAACATTTTATTCCAATGATTGAGATGGCAAATGTGGCACTTTTACTTGGCCCAAGTTCTATTACACATTAATACTGGCTTAATTATGGAGTTGGAAATATCTGAGTCTTGTTGCTTGATTCCAAGGACTTACATAACTTAAAATTTCTTTTTTAAACTTCATTTTTGAGAGTTTCATACGTGAATATTGTATTTGCATTATTTTCATTCCTCCCAGTCCCCCTCCAACTCCTCCCATGTCTCCCTGCTCCCTTTCAATATCTTGTCCTCTTTAATTATTATTGTTACATATACATATATATTTATAAATATAAATATATATAAAAGGTATTGAGTCCATTTATTGGTGAGCATATGTACCTGTGCTTAGAGCTGTCTATTTGGGATTAGACAACCTCTTACGGAGCTAGTCCCTGGCAAAAACTACTTTTCCCTCCTTCAGCATTTGTTGATTGCCAGTAGCTTTTCATCTTGAGGTTGGACCCTGTGAAATTTCCCCAGCCCCCTGCCTACTTCCATTTTTATTGAATTTTTGTGAATTCCATACAATCTATTTTGATGATATTTATACCCCTTCCCCTCATAGCCCCCTGGATTTCATGTATTCTGTCATATTAGATTCATTTTTATAGGTTAAAAAACGAGGGATCTTGAGGCAAAATAACAAAGTCACAGTTATTTAGTAGACAGATAAAATAGGGACAGATAAAATAAAGTCTTAGATAAGAAATTATGACAATTCTTTACAAAGGCTATGCTGAGAAAGAAACTCTCTCATTTATTGTTGATACGAATGTAAATGAAAATGTAAGTTTTCTGTAGGACAATTTACTATTGATTTCACAACAGTCTTAGAGTTGGGGGAGATCATAGTGATCATCTAGTTCAGACTCCTCATTTTGATATAGCTGAGGCCCAGA